ATCTGGAGTTATTTACACAGGGATTACTCTGTAGCATTTATTATCATGGGATAGAGGAGGGATGGGAGTCACAGAATCCCAGAATGGTTTGAATTGGGAGGGCTCCTAAAGATAATTTCATTCCAATCCCCACAGTGGACAGGGACACTAGACCAAGCTGTCCCAAGCACCATCCAACCTGACCTTGAACATTTCTAAGCATGGGACATCCACAGCTTCTCAGGGGAAGCTGTTCCAGTGCCTCATCCAGGGGCTGCCACTGATTCAGTGCATTACTGCCACTTGCTGTGTATTTGCTGACCACAGAAATTCAGTAGTAGAGAGTAGCACAGATTTCAGTCAGGTCCATGCTCAGTTTTGATACTGAAACACTGCTGGAAATCAGGTGTGCTGGGGAGGTATCTTTGCTTGGCACTCAGAAATTAAAGCAATTCACTAACAAATGGGCTAGCAACACCTGGCCTATCAGAATTTTTTCTTGCTAGATGAATGGCAGTATGGTGTAGAAACAAGAGGTTCATGTGAAACCTAGAGCCTGCTCTGATCCTTTCTGTCCTCTTCCTACATGGCAGATATGGACAAAACCATTTACCACTGACTCAGTACACTCTGTCTTTTAAAAAGCTCCTCACCTAAGGTTCCCACATAAGTAGGTTGTCCCCACAGATCTGGCCAGATTTTATATCACATGAAGCTGGAGAAGTTTTTGCTCAGCTCAGAGTTACTCAGATAGGTCCTGGAAAAGAAACCCCAACTGCTGTTCCAGTGGGAGCAAGGTGTGCTGGACCAGACTGTCACCAGGCACTTCATTTTCATGAAATGGAAAACCAGCTCATGCCTTGAGAACAGAATGCTAGTTTTTCCAACAAAAATAAATCTTTGGGGGGCTCACCTAAGAGAGAAGGAAAGGAAGATTCATAGCTTCACTTACATGAATCCCATATTTAAAAATACATCTAAGATGAATGAATGGGAATAAAACTCATTCCAGCAAACCTCATTCCTCAGTAATTCCCATTTGCTGGGAAAAAGCAAACTCTGTTATCAGGGAAGTCACTCTGTGGAAGAGAGTCATTTTCCTAATCAGAATGTGAAGCATGCCCTACTCTTAAATCATTTATATTTTACTTTTTTATGATGCAATCATGAATTAGCTTTTCCTGTGTTTGTAATGAGAGAATAGAACAGATGGTCAGGGCTTAGTTCAGGGTGATAAATCCATTAAGATAACCTACAGAAAGTTGCTGCTATGACAGTTGCTGCCAAATAAGTGTTCATTCAATTTTCTGTTCAGGCTTTGGGTACTGTGTGGAACATCTCAGTTCTTCACTACCTTGGGATAAAAGGGATAAGAAATCATGCACAAATTTGTGTAATGTATTATTACTGTCTATATGGCTCAAGGAACTGGATGGTATGATATAGGGGATGCACAGAGTAATACAGGGAAATAGCCTGGATTCGTTGCTTCCCAGTAGCTACCCCTGAAGATACACATACTCCATACCAGACTGCAGGTCTACTTTTAGCTGAACCAATGGCTCAATTGCAGAGTTCAGTTTTCTATCAAGGAGTGATTGCAAATTCCCATTTAACTTTGAATTCATGCCTTCACTTGTTATACAAGAAATTTCTCAAAGCATTTAGAATCCTAGTATAATTTATACTAGACAGGACCTTTGGTCTAATCCAGCTCAAAGCATTTGTCACAGTAGACCAAACCTCTAGGTCTCTTCCAACTGGAATTATTCTGTTTTATCCTGTCCTGCTCAAATTCCACCCTTAGACTCCAAGAGAAGGCTCCCACTTAAGCTAGCCAACAAATATGACGTATTACTTTCCAAAAACAAAGGCTAGAATAATCAGGTATCCTATAGCTTATGATTAGCAAAAAGAGATACTAAACCATAAAGCAAACAAAGTGAGAAATTGTATGTTAATTATTTCTGATGATGTCTTTGACCTGAATCACATCAGGCTGCTCCATAAATGAATCTAAGCAGAATCCATAGATCAGCTTCAGGGAGGTTCAGATCTGCATTCAGTCTCTGTGTGTCTCTGGAAACCAGCAGTACCCTTTTCCAAGGTACTTTGACACTTCTGTTTCTAATAAATTTTGCCAAAATCCCTTTCCATCATTGGAATTCAGCACCAGGGCACTACCACATATCTTTAGATAGTGCTTCCATGTGGAAACAGTATCTCCATATACCAAGAGCCCATAGTTTCATCACACCTGAGCAGCTAGAGGCTGGCTGTGGAGCTGTATCCAGTCTATTAGTGGAGAGAGAAGACTCTGCTGAGGAAGGATGTGGAGTTCCTGCAGTATCTCCTACAAAAGCATTGAGGGCTTCCGTGGAGGAAACAGAGCTCCCCACTGATACAACCCAGCACTGAAGAGCTTATGCCAGACCCCTGTCCTTCACGGCCCAGGCACCTGGGCACACCTGAGCACCCCTACACATGAGAGGTCCCAGACAAATTGCTGCATGGTGAGCTCCCACGTGTTTCAGTGGAACCACCCCACAGGAGGGGACGTACATTAGGTTTGACAAAGTGAGCAGAGGAAAACTGATTGCATACAAATGCATACAAAATAAAACCACCACAATTTCAGTGTTTTCTTTCATACGTGGTAATGTCAACGGGCTTTATTAACAAATGCTGTGTAAGCAGAGGTTTGAATTTGAACCGGGTTTCTTTTCACTTCTGCACCTCTTTGCTGCCTGGCTGAGTGCTCAGTATCTTCCAGCACAGGCATTACATGGTGCTCTGCTTGTCCCCACAGCCATCAGTCCAGGCAGAGCCTGAGCTGGGAAATGGCTGGAGCCCCAATAAATATTAGCAGGATAGTCTGGGCTAAGACTGCCTCTCTCTTCCCTTCTGCTCTCGCCTACACATGTGATGCTGCTGCTGCCTCGGCACAGAGCCACACTACAGGAGGAGCTGAGGAGCTTCTCCCTATCCACACACGTCTAAAGGGACACTGTGCTTTGGATGAATGACCCTTCCCTGGATGCAGCTTGTGTACATGCTGGAGACAGATGACATTTTAACAATAAATCTGCTGAATTACAACTCAGGGAGAATTTACTTGAAAATTTACATAATGTAGCTAGGGGAGATTTTTAAATGTTTCCTCTTGTGCATAAGGGAGAAAAAAAAATAGGAGGAAAATTAAGTAACAGTTTAATTGGCTTTCAGAACAGTCTATGGGGAGAAAGGCAGGCCGGATGTCTGCCTAGCTACACGGCTTGGTGTGTGCTGTAACCATGGGAGGCAACATTACAGGCATGACAGGACAATGATTTGGTTTTTCAGCACTGAAGATCTGAAAAATGAATTACCTCCAGCTGGGGGGTTGTTTTCCACTTGAGGAAAACCTGTCATGCTGGTTTGGATAACTGCAGGTCAGGCTTCTGTTTCAGGGGAAAATGGAGGATTTTCTCCTGGTCTGCCATGTACCACCTCAAATATGGATCACAGCTGTTGGGATGAATGGGATCTGCCTCTTCCATCACCCCCCTCATTTTAATCAAGGAGTGGCTTGTAATGAACTGGGTAACTGAGAGGATGATGAGGCTTGGGCTGATGAGCCTGATGCCTTGTGCTCCTTCTGCTCCCACTGCCCCCCAGACCCCTACTTCCCTCCTCCAGAATCTGAGGAAAATCGTACAGCAGCAGACCTGTGTTGGTTCAGTTCCCACTGCCTCAAAACTGCTGCATTTTGGGATGGTACCAATAACAGAGACCTGCAAGAAAGATACTGACAGTTCATTTTTTATTTAATTTTGCCTTTAAAAAAAGCACCAGTTAAATCGATGTCAATTACATGAAAACATGCAAGTTTCAGAACTAACCACTTTCTCTCAGCCTCCTTCATTTCTCAGATAATTCAGGGAGAACTCTATTGATTACCTGTCCTCCTCAGGAGAAACACCATCTGAGTGAGATTAAGACCAGGAATGTAAGGGAAATGCCTCTTTTCTACAGCTGAACTGGAGACAGAGGCCGGGAGTGACACCATCACCTGCTACCACTTTCTAGCCCTAAGCCACCTGCCAGAACTGGGGAAGTGTCAGATTGGGTCTCTCCTCACCAAAGGCTCCCTAACCTGCTCCAACTCCCTCCTAAACCATGGCTAAATGACTGATATAAGATGCCATAGGGGCAAGCTAGAAAGTGTATGGAAAGATCACAGGATCATCACTTGCCAAAATGGCTGAACATGGAAAAATGTTGTCCCTCTGCCTATAGCATGGATGCTGCCTTCTGCTACCACCACAGTGGGGTGGCAAAGCCCTCTCCTCCCTGCCAGCAGCACTACTCTCCTAACACCCTGAATCACCGTCCTGAGGACTCACAGGCATCACATCTCCAGGGTTTTTTTCCAGGTACTCTGGCTTCACTCCACCGTGTCTTATTACACAGGACAAAGCCATAAATCAGCCGTGTGCCCTGCTCCCCCCTGCCAGGGGGTGCCGACAGTGAATGCCTTTGGTGCAGTTCTCTTTGGATCCCAGCAGTGATTACAGTGGTGGTCCTGATCAGATGCTGTGTTGTTATCCTCGGCTGCCATGGAATGCACTCTCTTAGGCATAAGGATGCTTCAATACAAATGTGTATATACAGGACTGATCACACAAGACTATTTTTTAGCTTTGATTTTAGAACTAGGCTTGAAGATTTAAACTAAAAGAAAGTAAACTTATTACTAGCTTTGTTTATTATTAGCATCATTATTAGCTTTGTTATCCAATGTAATCAAAACACTTCCTTCCCCATCCTTCTGAAATGATGAACTAATTCCAAATCAGAAATGAAACTATTGGAAGAAAAGCAGACAGTAGCATTAAGGCTTAACCTAGAAAACTAACTTGTGTTTAGGTCTACCTTTTAAGGACGGGCTGCCAAACTAACAGACGTGTCCTATTACAGGTATATTTATAGGCCAAGCCAAGGCAGCTGTGACTGCAAATCACCGCAGGAAACCAGGAAAGCCTCAGATGGCACAGCTCCTTCGCCATTCCTCGATCCACAGCGCTGACAGCAATGCCTGTAACACACATCCAGGGCAGCAAGAGCGCTTTTGCATGCAAGTACCAGACCTGTTCTCCTTAAAAACAACCTAGAATAGCTGCAAGCAAATGTCTCAACAGGATTTTTTTATGTTCACGGCTGCAGCGAGTGTTCGTTTTTGAGCTGCTCTCGGTAAGAAGTGATTGAAACATTTACCTGCAAACGCTGCATCGGCATTTAAGCGGGTGCTTTGCTCATTGCTTTTATGAGGTCTGATTCTTTAGGTGGAACGCAGGGATTACACACAGCCGGAATCCTGCCCGGTCCCGCCCCGCCGCTATGGCGGCTCGTCCGCTCGGGAGGATGCTCGGGATCCGCCGCCTGCTCCTCCCGCTGCGCTCCGCGCCGAGCGCCGGCTGCGCCCGCGCCGCGCACAGGGACACAGGTACCCGCCTGGGAACGGGGAGCATCCCGTGCTCGCCGTCTTCCGGCCACTTAGGAAGGGCTGCGTTAGCATGCTGTAGGGTTTTGTCTTTAACTGGCAGGCTAAGCTCTAGGTTTTTTGGTTAAACTATCATTTTCAAATTAATTTTCTCCTGCCCTCTTTCCCCGCCCCCAGTCTCACCTCTACCTTGCAAGAGATTAATTTGGGCAAGCGTTCATTCCTCAGGAGCTGATTGTTTATCAAGGATCTTGTGCTGATGGGAGATAGGCTGGGAGGTGGTTCCCCACCTCAGACTTTATTATTAGGAGACTATTAAACTATTTTACTCCCTGTTTTTCAGCCAGTTTATTAGTTCTTTGTCAATCCCATACCATCACAAGTGTTCTTGGTGTGTACAGACTCACAGGATACGTTGCTGGAGGTTTGCACCATGATGGGTGACTTCTGCTCTGCTGCTGTGTGTCTCTCACTTAACTATGGCCCCATTTCTCTTGGGCTGTAGCTGTTGCTTTTTTCCAGTCCTCCTTCTTAGCACTGCTTTTCACTGGGACCTATGGAAGTTGCCAGTGTTCCACAGCCCACAGATGAACATAACTTCTGGTTTCTGAGGGTTTCCAAGTGGTTTGCCAAACCTTTTAGTGCTATCCAGGGATGAAGGAGGAGCGCTGGCAGACCAGCAGTTATCCAGAGCCAGGGCAGAGGCAGTGCTGGGAGAGTGGGTGGTACCTGGGGTCAGAGGTGCCCATTTCCTTTACAAGCCTTCCCAAGTGGTTTGCTGGAGCTGCTCTCTGGATGTAGCACATGAAATGGAAAGCAGATGCAAAGTCCTGCATGTGGCCCTGCTCATGCCCCTGAACTGCCCTCTGTGCTTTGTCTGTACCCATAGAAACTTTTGGAGAACTGAGATGATGATGGAAAGCATCAATGGAATCTAAGCTATCTTACTAAGTTACCTTTCTATATCTAATTGAAGACACAGACCCCCTCACTAAACAAGCTGAAGCAGCTGCTGCTACAGACTGGAAAAAAAAATTGACTCCGGAGCAATTCTATGTTACACGAGAAAAAGGAACTGAACCGGTGAGCAAAAGTGTTAATGCTGTCCAAGGGTGAGCCATCTCTCTGCCTGCTGGGCACAGAAAAACCTGCCCTGGGGAGCTGTCACCACTCAGTTTCTTCACAGGATTCCCCTGCCTTCCTGTGGATGAAAGTTAGACTCAACATACGGAACAGGGTGGATTTTGTTCTGACCCAGGCTGTTTTGCAGATGAAAAACATTCTACATTCTTTTCATATTTTATTGGGTTTTTTTTTTTCTGGGATACTTTCCTGCCAGATCAACTGTTTGTGTGGTGGGAGTAGAGGCCTGTCTGGAGGATGGGGAGATCCTCAGATATTTTTATCCTGTAGTCTCTTTTTTATGATCATGTGTAGATTAGCCATGGAAATCTTAAACATAGTGCTCCCTTCAGGAGATGGGTTCTCCCTCGGGTGCCAGATCACCCACCCACATGTCCCCACGTTTCCTCCTTCTGTGAAGGAAGCTGTGTAGCATTGTGGGTGGAGTGCTGGCTGTCCCTAGCCCAGAGACAGGACTTCTGCACACATGGAGCACATACCATGTGATCTGTGCCCACATCCATATCTGTAAAATAAGGATCCCAGTACCAGACCTGCAGGAAGGAGGAGAGTCTCTTTGTAAAGCCACTTTAAAGTTGTGGTAGTCCATAGCAGAGCCCTGGCCTTTGGGATCCTGCACATTTCACCAGCTTCTTGGAGGTCACGACTCCATGCTTGGTACCTGGATGATTTATGAATCTGACTGGTCTCAAAGTTTGTGGGGGTAGGGAGTAATCTTCACTACTAGCCCAAAGGCATCCTCCCCTTCATTTTTTCAGGCTGCTAATGTTTGTTCTTCAAAGCCCCCCTGCAAAGCCTTCTTTTTATGGTTTTTCTCCTGTTTTGAATCTGATTCCTACATGCTTCTTCCAGATGGTGAGCTTTTAAAGACCTACATTATTAACTTCTCTTTTTTCCTTCCTATTTTGAAAGCCATTCAGTGGGATCTATCTGAATAACACAGAACCAGGAATATACTGCTGTGTGTGCTGCAATGCCCCCCTCTTCAGGTAACATCCTCTGGATTTCACAGCATCTTTGTGACAGGATGATTGTGACAGGGAGGGCAACATCTTTCCATGAATGGCACGGAAAGTGTTGGTCAGAAGAACAACCCCTTGGTGCCCAAGTGCTGTGTGTAAGTCTTCCAGGATGCCTGTGGTGACACAGATACACGGCATGCCTTTTCCTTGAGCTGATGCGGATTGCCAGTGGCCAGCACACAGCTGTCATGCTGTAGTCTGCCTGTTTCTCTTGACACACTTCTTTTTAGTTGATAATAATTCCCTGTTTAAGAGGTCCTTAAGCCACAAGCTGCTGCAAAATGCATGTATTTATGCATGAGTATCACTGTGTGTTTATTCTTGTGCTCCTCCATACTCATCTTCTGTCACTGGTGCTGCTGGGCTGGAGAGACCTTGGTCTGTCCTTGTCTACTGTTGTGATAGTCTCATTGCTGGGTCCCTCACACTGCAGTTGAGACCTTCTCTTCACCCCCACCCCCTCCTTGTTCCTTAAATTAAATTCCACTATTCTTGCCTTTTTGGTTACATCTACTTTTTAAAGCCTGGCTGCAAATGATTGCACAGTTAACCTCTGTGCTCTTTACAATACTGTATATATTTTGCAACTTCATTTATGTCTAAGTAAAAGGAAAGAGAGTGCCTTGGAGAAGGATGTGCAGAGGGTGTTCTGTTCTCTGTAACTGAACCAGGAAAGACAGTTTCTCTTACTTTTGGTCTAGAAAATAGCCCTTATTTATTCCCAGCTGAGAATTGAATGAAATGTGGCTGATTTAAAGTATGAATCACAGATCAGAACTTCAAATTGGATGCTAAGGATCAAGAAATCTGGATAGTAAGAAAGGAGGGGAAAATGTAATGGATGTATTGAAAATAAATTTAAACTAAGCAATTACATTATAATTGTGTACAATTCGTTTTCCTTTGGCCAAGTGCAGAAAACTATTGTTATGCAAACATGTATTTCCTTAAATGTATAATTTTCCATAGAGGTTTGCTTATGAATACTTATAAATAAATTAATTTCTGATGTTAGCTCAGCATTACAAAACATTCTGAAGAGAAATATAAAACCTAAAAACACATCTGGAAAATTCAGATAAATTAGAGAAATTGTAAAGTACTAGCTGTGGAAGAGTTCCTTCCATTCCTTCAGGTTTTCCTTCAATTTCCGCACCTTTTATATTAGACAATTGATATTGTCAGGCCAACATGAGGAGAGACAAACACTGGAGGGAATTGCTTCTGTTGTTAAACTAGTAACAAAAGCAATATAACCAAACAGTCAGGCTGCCCTTTGCACTATCCAGCTCTCAGAGAATATAAGCACTTTTCTTTGCAGCACAAGATAATGCTAAGCCTCACAGATAAAGAAGGCCAAACTTTTGGAAAAAAAAAGGCTTGTAAGAAAAAAGAAAACTATTAAATGTGAAAAATCGCCTGAAAATATATTTTCCATGGAGATGTTATGCTATGAAAAACACAAGCAATGAGGGGGAGAAGTGGTATTGGATAAGAGATTCATTCACCGTATTTATTTCCTAGTCCATTAAAAATGTTCTTGTGCAATTTTGGTTTTTTCAAATGCATTAGATCATTAGCTACAGGTAAACATGAAGTATTTCTTCCTTTCTTTGAAACGTGTGTATACATTTAAATCAGAATTTAGTACCTTCTGCTACCAAATATACATTTGAAAGAGTTGAAAATACATGGAACGAACCCCTAACCTTTATAGATAGCAAATTGTGGTGCTTTAATGAAATCTCAAACCTTCATCAAACCATAAACCTACAGCTGAGATTCATACAGCAAAAAGCACTTTTTTAGAATTATCTGGATTGCATCCAGGACGACTGAAACAGGGATCAAAGTAAATGACATGTGCTGGAGGAATGGTGTGTCGAGGTCTAATCTAATGCATATGTTTAGGGAAAGTCCATTTATCCATAAATTAAGTAGTGAAATACTTCAAAGGACAAATATGATCTTGAACAGCAATATTTTTGGGTACTAAAATGTTTCTATTAGGGAATCTAAGTGACATTACTCTTAATAAAACCACACAGAGACCATTTCTGTTGAGAGCTAGTTTAACAGCTCAAAAGATTGTTCCTTTAGCAGTGGAAAACATCTACAATAAACTTAAGTATTGTGAGTGGCATGTAAGGGACAGAGTCAGTCAGGGTCAGATGCAAAACCCCCACAGTATTAAAGACCTTCCTTGACTCTGTGGGTTTTCAAAGAGGATCTTTTTATCTATGTGTGAATAAACATAAGGATTCCTGTGTCAAAAAAATTAAGAGTTGTGATGAAAAAGAAACTCAGCAGATGTATGTCAGGGAAGCTCAGAAGTCATGCATGGGTATGTGTCCCCCAGGCCATTCTTGGGGACTCTGTGGCTGGTAGGGACAGTGTTCATGTGGTTTTGTGGCAGGGAAAGCAGGGAGTCTTGAGCTGGAAAGAAACAGGCCTGGAGCCCTAAGGACCTTGATGTACAAACACAGAGTCTGCAAACTGCATTTGCTTCAGAGCAGGCTGCTCCTGTGCTGTGTCCTATTTCTTTCCAGTTTTATGGAGAGGAGGGGAAGGAGAACATTTCTCATGGCTGTCTGTGTGTTGATGTAAAGGACTAAGCAACAGCCCACACAAAAACTAGACTTTGGTCATTCTGTGCTAGTAAATCTTCTATTTCCACAGCTGCATTACTCAACGACAGCCTTGTACAGATGATTATAAAAATGCTGACTCATGCACTGTTCTTTGGCTTGGATTTTTTAAGCTTTTTGTCCAGTTTGTTTGCCTTATCTTTCTAAAAGGCACTGCAATTAAGATTTTCAGATTTTTCTTCGCCATGTGAACAACCTACCAAAATATACATGATATATATTACTTGGTTTGGATATATATATGCTTGGTTTTAAATTCTGTCATAACTAACCTTTCAATCCCTTGATGAAGAGCTGCTAGTGGTGCTGATGTCTCCATTCACCACTAGATGCCAGTAAGAGCATTGGGTTTGCAAAACTGGGGAAAAACCATGAGAAATTGTGAGGAAATGGTTGTGGTGAGTCTCCAGACCACTAATCTGAGAAGTATGTGAACCTATCTTAATTTCTTGTTCTAACTCATGCTAGATCCCTCTTTAATAAGAGAAGGTTCGTATTGATGTCAAAGCTTGCAAACCAAAGGGTTTATCTCATTTCTGTACCAAATACCTAAAATGTCTTTTGATCATATTTGCCAACACAGTTTAGGTTTTAATGTGCAGCTAAACAGTGTTGGTCACCCTGGATGTTAACAGGAGGCACCCACAAGCTGACAGTCTGTTGTGCTGTTTCCTATGGCTGTGGTTATCTCTTGGGAAAAGGAGATCTTTGTGCTGTGAGGATTTGTCGTAGGTTGATCGATGGTTTGAGCGGGGCTCTGTTTGATTTTCCAAACCAGCTTGATGGCTGACTGCAAGACAAAGCCTCTATCATCATCAGGCACGAGCCTGGTCTGGTGGGCCAGCCCAGCCTTTGTCTATTCTTCATTTCTGCTTGTAAACTCTCTTGTCTGAGATTGCTGGATTGAGCCAGGCTTCAAACTGCAGCTCTGTAGGTGTAATTCAGCTAAACACTATAGCATAATGTTAGTATAGCATAGTTGTCAGAAAAAAAAGCCCTTTTCTAAGCTTTATAAAATACCAACCTGACACTGAAATAGAAGCAGTGAGACAAAATCTCCTGTTGTGAGCTGATTGAGAATTCCCTTTGGGAAAGAGTTTCCAGCACAGTTTGATGCCAATGAGAAAACTTCTCCTGTGCCAAAATATTAATATTGGTACAACACAGGAATGAGGGGAGAAGCCAAAGTTCTTAATACAAGCAGACTCTTTTGTAACATTTCTGTTATTAACTAAGAAGAAGATCTGCTTTCCAATAGCTCAGAGAAGAAGTACGATTCTGGGACTGGGTGGCCATCTTTTTCTGAGGCTTATGGTACTCGTGGCAGAGATGAAAGTAATACCAATATTGTGAGACGGCAAGATAACTCACTGGGGTCAAGAAGAACTGAAGTTGTCTGCAAACAGGTATGTTTGTTTTGGAGATGATACACAAAGACACAAAACTTAGCAGATATATTTTCTTTCTGCCCATGAATGAATCCACCTAAACACAACAGTGAGAATTAAGAGTATCACTGAGGCCATTCTTTCTCAGTCTGAGCTGAAGAAATGTATGTGAGTGGGGAAAGCAATTGTGTATGTATAGCCAAAGGCTGGAGCTTACACAGAAAATTTACTCAAGGTGTGCTGCAAGGTGTGACAAGAGATGGTAGAAGAGGCTCTGAGATAGGGTCCATGCATTTGGCCCATCACAGGGACAGTTCTTCCTCATTCAGCCTTGCTAAGTATTTGCGATAGATGTTCTTAAAATATTCAGAGATTGAGACACCAGCCCTTGAAGCTGTTTGCAGCCATTACCATTTGCCCTGAATCTCCACAGCTATTTTCTGTGGATTCTCTTGTTTCACAGAAGCTTCCCTTCTATTTTTTTCTAGCTATTTTGACTCCCTCAGTCATCTCTTTTCTAGACTAGAAAGTTATAGTTCCTTCAGCTGTTCCTTTTTATGCAGTGCTTTTTAGTGTGCTCACCATTCTGTTGCTCTGTTTTGCATCCTTCCCAATCGACCCTTTTCCTTCTTGTAGTAGAGTGCAAGGTTGCACACAGCACTGCAGCTGGGCCCAGCCTGCAGCAGGGGTTAGAGGCTGTTCAGGTGTGTTAGAAATGGTGTTCCTGCCCTTACACCTTTACATTTCCACAGACCATATTACACAGATAGGTATTTCTTTTGGAACCTGCTGTAACACCCAGGTTCTTTTTCTACGCAGCTGCCACCTTTAACCATTTCTTCCCAACCCTGAATCTGTTTTTTACTTCTGTTAAGGTATAAAAGTATGCAATTGAATTTAATGAATTGCATCTTGGATTTGGGGTTTTTTAATGTCTCTGTGTGTCTGTTTTTGTAAACTGTTAAGATTGTTAAAGCTGTCCTTCAGTCTGCTTGCAGTAGGCTTAGGTACATCTGCAAATGTAACAAGAATTTGCTGCAGTCCATTATCTCAGAAGAGTTCACATTTGCAGCCATATGCAGCAAGCACCTTCAAGAACCCCAGCTGAAGACATTCCAATTTAATAATGTCACTGATAGCTATACTGTGTCTAATATTTTCATGTCAGTAATTTGAGAGGGAAATCCTCAGTTGATCTGTGAGAATGACCTACAGTGATTTATTAACTTGACATTTTCATGACATATTGAGATGTTTCGTTCCTCTCATTTATTTCCTATACTTTCTGGCAATAATATCTTTTGACTTTCTCTTCTGGGATCTTCTTGTTTGGGGGCAGATACTTGCCCACTGACAAGATGTGATTCCTTGTCACTCCCCAGGACTTTCCCACTCACAGAACTCAACAGTGATGTAATCATGAAAGTTTCTTAATTCAGGATAACACAGTAATAATAATGTTGGTCCATAATTCCAATTATAATAATGCAGTGCCAATGGTTTCTGGTCACCAGCAGTGCTCCCCAGGGCTCAGTGCTGGCACCACTTGTGTTTAATATCTTTATCAAGGATCCACATGAGGGCATCCAGGGCACCCTCAGTCAGCCTGCAGACACACCGGGCTGGGTGGGAGTGTTGAGCTGCTGGAGGGCAGGAAGGCTCTGCAGGGGGAGCTGGACAGGCTGCACTGATGGGAGAGGCCAGAGCTCTGAGGTTCAACAAGGCCAAGTGCCTGGGCCTGCTCCTGCCCTTGGCTCACAACAACCCCTGCAGCTACAGGCTGGGGCAGAGCGGCTGGAAAGATGCCTGCAGGAAAAGGTGCTGGGGGTGCTGGTCAACAGCAGCTGAACATGAGCCTGAGAGTGCCCAGGTGGCCAAGAGGCCAATGGCATCCTGGCCTGGAGCAGCAATGCAGTGGCCAGCAGGACCAGGGCAGTGACCATAACCCTGTACTCAGCACTGGTGAGGCTACACCTTGAGTTCTGTGTCCAGTTTTAGGTCCCTCAATTCAGGAAGAACATTGAGGTGCTGGAGAGAGTCCAGAGAAGGGCAGTGGAGCTGGGGAAGGGTCTGGAGCACAAGTCTGATGAGGAGAAGCTGAGGGAGCTGGGGATGCTTCTCTTGGAGAAGAGGAGGCTCAGGGGTGACCTTATCACTCTCTACAACTGCCTGAAAGAAGGGTGCAAACAGGTGGGGATTTGGCTCTTCTCCCAGGCAGCTGGAGACAGGACAAGAGAACATGGCCTCAGGCTGGATGTCAGTGGGAATTTCTTCATGAAAAGGGCTTTTAAGCTTTGGAATGGACCGCAGAGGGAGGTGGTGGAGTCACCATATCTGGAGATGTTCAAGAAACCACTGGACACGGCAATTAGTGCCATGGTGGTGATCAGTCAAAGATGGGCTCTATGAATGAGAGGTGTTTCCCAACCTAAATGATTCTGTCATTTTATAGCAATACAATAATAAAATGGTAATAATTTCTGTTGCAGTGTGATGCCCATCTAGGCCATGTGTTTGATGATGGACCCACACCTTCTGGGCAGAGGTTCTGTATCAACAGCATTTCATTAAACTTCAAACCAGGTTCTGGTCAGTGAGAAGTGACTTCCTCTGGCTTGCAGAACATTCTTTCTCTGCTCCTACAGCATGCTTGTAGAAAACTCTCATGCTTTTAACATAGAACTCAAATTTTAGTATTTATGCTGTAGTAGCTTTGTTTTCCAGCTGTTATCATTGTTGATAAAATACATATTTTTGTTTTAACTCTTTGGCAGTCTGTCTTTTCATGGTTAGTGTGGTGTGTTGATCTGCTTATTGTATATTTTAATTAAAAAAAAAAATCTGTGCAATAGTTCACATTTGCAGCTATCATCATTAATTGTATTGAGGCTGCTGAAATGAGGTGCTCTCCTGAACCTGACTGCTTATTCTGAGCAGTAGTTGTGGCACTCAGGAACACAGATGTACATGGCTGATCATGGTAAACTTATACTTCTATAAAATCATCATATCCTTCTAAAGGGAAGCAAAAATAACATGAATCTTCAAATAAGGTCGGAGGGTTTTTTTCCCCCTGATGTGAGAGACCCTTAGCTGAGCCAAGTGACTTTGCTGTGAACCCATAAAAGCAAAGTCCTGAAGGAGGACCTAATTAAAACTGTTTTAGGCAATGGAACCAGTGGAGACATGAAGTCTTTCTTCTTTTAAATCAATTATTTTGATTCTGTATCCAATAGCAGAGTAGAAATAGGGTTTGCTCCAGAAACTTCTCTTACAGCAATTATATGATAATAATGTAATGATATGTATAATATTTTCAGTTTTCTGTTATCACTTGTGTATTTCAGAATCCAAAAATAAAAATCAATATGGAGTTTACTGTATTTGGGGGAAATAAATCGTCATTAAAAAAACAGGCTTGGTAAAGTGTTGCTTTTGATGCCTTGTCTGTTCTTCCATGTACAAGTTTGTAAATACTTCTGCATTCTCCCAAACACTGTCATTATGGTTTGCCCTAAAAGCGAAATAAATCCTATGTCTGTTAAATTGAGCTTTCCTTCCTTCAGAATTTTTTCCAGAGAAAATAATCTGTGACTCAGAACATCAGCTCCACTAAACTGGCTGGGTTTAAATGCTTCCCTGCTGAGAGTTACTAGGCAACATCTCATTTGGCTTTACCTATAACAGCCTGTTTCCACTCTCCCCACTTTGGTTGCCTCAGTGATAAAAAGGGTGTGTTCATTTACTAGTGTAGTCTTAAAGCTGTTTAATGTATTCAGAAAATTAGACCTCCACTGCACGGAATTTATTTCTGCTCCTTCCATCTTGGAGCTCTGTGGTTTTTCATTCTCCTCTGCTTTCTACAGGGGAACTCTGCAATTCCCTGACATCATAACTCTCCAAATCCAAAAACATCATAGAAACAATGATCACTACAGCCAACCTAAACCAGAATGGCACAAAGCCCACCAGGTGTGGAGGTGTGAAGCAGCATGAGTGAAGGCAGCACTTGGTGCTACTGATTTTATGCAGTGTCTCAGCTGGTGCCAGTCCCATTGCCATCAGAGGTGTCTGTTAACAGCACTAACACTGCTTGCTGTGCCTGTGCTGCATCATGCTCTGCCTCTCAGAGCAGATGCATCACCCACTGTATTTTCTGTCTGCTCTGGCCAGGCTGTGCGCGCCCAGCCTGCTCAGGTCTCTGCTCTCAAGGGTCTTCACAGGTTGTACAGAAATCAGTCTTTGCTCCATCTGAATTCACGTGCCCCCTTATCCTGATATACGTTCACCCACTTTTTGTATGTTTCTTTGTCTTAAAATCTATTGCACAGCAACTGAAAAGGTTATTTGACCTCTAAAGGCATTCTTTAGTCAGGCAGCCTTCTCTCCTCTCCTTGTGTTTCCTAACAGGAGAGGGTTCTCTCATAAAAAGGGAAAAAAGAGTGCCATTTGGCTGGGATACCAATGGAAATGCTCCTCATTTCTGCAAGTGGCCTAAAGTAGAACAGAACTGGCAAAATACCTGTTTTTTTCCTGTCCCTAGAGATTCCAGGTCTCACTGACAACTTTTACAGATGAAAGTGCCATGCAAACAAAACAGACCGTGAAGCTGATGAAACGTCAGCTGTGGTTTGCACAGACCTACGTGCAAACCACACTCAGTTTAGTACCTTGGATGGGTGGACATGGTTGGTGGAGACCAGCTCTTAGTAAACTGGCAAGTTAGTACCTCTCCTCACAGAGGGAGCTTGCCAGAGCAGAGAGCACATTTATTTCACACCTACAAAGATCATTGTATGCTAACCCCTGTTTGGGGTTAGCAGCAGCTGGTGCCTCCTCACTCATGGAGCAGGGTGACCTGAGGAAGGAGTCCTGGAAGGCCTCAGTTCAGCTTGTGCAGTGTTACTGGTACATAATCACATGAACAGATCCACAGGTCCAAGAGCAGCACCTGCCCTGCACTACCCTGGTATGTCACCAAGCAAACACAGCGAGGCCCCCACTGAGGGGGAGGCAGACACTGAGATAAGCAGCCTTGTTCTGCTTCATGTCAAACAGGGGAAAAGGGGAAAAACTGACCACATGTGTGAAATCAGAGCAATGGTACATCACCTTTCAGTGCAATGTAAACTTATGGACACTTGGGATCTCTGACCAAAAGCTCTTTGGGGCAGTGCACTTCATTATCTTCTGTGTCTGTGGTACCAACCACACCAGGACAGATCCAACTAAAGGCCCAAAGTGTTATAAGATCCTTAAAAATAAAGACCAATAATAATGGAAGGCATTATCAAGGAGTATCATAGACTACAAGAATTTCCTCATGTATCTGCAATTACTTTGTTCCACCATAATGAACAAAGAGCAGTTGCTATTCTGAGTGGAATATACTCTGCCAGGCAACTGCAGATTTATGTTCCATTCTTCATATCTGAGGAGTTTTTACCATGCTTATTTCATTAATTTGCTTCAATGCTGATACTTTTTATTCCATTGTGGTTTTAAATAGCCTGTTTATAAATCCTAATTGAGATTTCTACATAATTCTTAAGGGATTTTTTACATATTAAATAAAGTATTTAATGACTTTTTCAGTCTTTACAGCATCTCTACAAGGCAAGTAACTATTCCTTCTTTTGCTGAGGGAAAACTTGATGAGAAAAATTTATTGATTTGCTCAAGACTTCAAATTAAATTTGCAGCCAAGCCAGAATTAGACTCTGCATGGCTCATGACAGCATCCATATCTGCAGACCCTACTTTTTCAAGGCTTGTCTTTTTAATTGATTAGGGGGGAGAGCATGTCTATTGCCAAAAAAGAGAAGGTAAACTTAGTATATGTTTTCCAGCTATGATATTAAAACCAAGTCTAAGCCAACACGGGCAACTTGGCTCATAAAGAGAAACTTGACCTCTTTCTCAGAGCAAATGTGATAAGGGCTTGGTTAGAAATTATAGAATAAAAAAGAAGGGAAATGGGAAAGAAGGAGCAGGTTACTCTTATGTTACTATAAATTTCACTCAGAAGAAAATCAGAATGGGCAGAAATCAAAATGCCCATTATTTTAGCCATGTATCCACAGAATTGTAGTGATGCTCTTTTCTACTGCATCATGCTGCAAATCATTTGGACTATTTTTTATGCTTGTGGACAGCCTAGTTTGGTCAGAACAAGAAAAGGAGACTATTGTCAGTGCAAATATCGTATTTTTGTCACCCCTAAATATCTCCAGCATAAGGTGGCTCAAGAGATAGCCTGCATGAGAAGGGACTGGAAAAGTCTCAGCTTGAGTTTTTCTTTTTTTCTGAGTATTTAGCTGGTACTCCTAAGCATGTTCATATTTTCTGGTCTTAAACCTTGGCTCTACTGCGTATAAGAAATAAATCCTGTGACATGACTCCACTGCCTCCTCTTTCTTTCACTTTATGAAGTTTTGCGCTGGGCAGTGAAGTGTTTTAAACCACACTCCAGGGCCTGCCCCACCTCCTGCCATAGCCGAGCGATGAGCTGATGGTAACGCTGTGCTCACAGCATGTCAGGTACTGCTCAGCGCCCGGCACCCTCGTGCATTTCTTTCACAGCTCTTCGCACACAAACGCTGGCCCGCCCCAGCCCTTTGAGGTAGCGGTGAGCCACACGCCACAGAATTGGAAGCTGAGGGACAGCTGTGGGAAGTGACTCGCCCACAGTCCCCTGGGGCAGGGCAGGGAAATCTGATTACAGAATAGGGTTCTCAAAAGCTCTCCAAGTGTGAGCTGCTGCCAAAATTCACAAAGGCAAAGCAGTTTAAAAAAGCAAAGCGCCTTATTGAAGAAGTGCCCAGATTTTTTCAAGACTAAAAGAATTTGTCTCAAGGCAGGTGTGTCCATGGGGACTGGTTTTAGTAGCACTGAGGAATTTGTGTGGAAGAGATTGGCAGCTTGCCATAGGGCAGAAGAAAGAGAAATGCATGCCCATTATTGCACTCCCTTTTACTGTCTTTTTTCTTGTGGTGTTACTTATTTTCTGTTGCTTTGTGGTATTCTTCCTCGCTCCTCCTCCCTGGGTTCTGGCTTTCTTGACTGCACTCACCCTTTCCTTGTGCCTGAGCCCTCCTATCTCCGCACTCGGTTCGCTGCCCTTGGAGCCCGAGAGATGAGCGAGCACTCGGTGCTGCAGCCGCGTCCGAGTCGGCAGCGCCCTGCCCGTGCCGGGGGGACTGCGGGGATCCGGCCGGCAGGCTCCGGGCTCGGGTCCCCTGCAGGCCCCGGGGATCGGATCCCCTGCAGGCCCCGGGAAATGGATCCCTGCAGGCCCCGGGGATCGGATCCCCTGCAGGCCCCGGGGATCGGATCCCCTGCAGGCCCCGGGGTCGTGTCCCCTGCAGGCTCGGGGCTCCGATCCCTTGCCAGAGCAGACCTCGACTGTGCTCATTCTGCTCACCTGCTTTGCACACACAGTTTGACAACATTTACAAAGCGACTTCCAGAAAAACTCATCAAGGGCAGAGGAGTTTCCCTGCAGGCCCCGGGGATCGGATCCCCTGCAGGCCCCGGGGATCGGATCCCCTGCAGGCCCCGGGGTCGTGTCCCCTGCAGGCTCGGGGCTCCGATCCCTTGCCAGAGCAGACCTCGACTGTGCTCATTCTGCTCACCTGCTTTGCACACACAGTTTGACAACATTTACAAAGCGACTTCCAGAAAAACTCATCAAGGGCAGAGGAGTTGCCACAGAAATCAGGAGAAAGATGGTAAAAAAGTCATAAGGGATTCTTGCACAGCCTGCTTCATTCAGAAAACAAGGGCTGTGCTGCCCTGTTGTACTACTGATGCACGAGATGTAGAAATGTAGACCACAACCAGGTAATCTTTGCTCGGGTGTCATTTGTGGAAGATCAAAAGATGGATCCAGACATCTTGTAATAGCAGGAAAAGGAACAGGAAAGAACAGCAACTGTTGCCCAGCTTCTAAGGAAGAGGCAAAGGCAACACAGAGCAAGGTGCTGGAGTCAGGGACAACAAGAATTTGTGTTTTCCTTTTCAGAGGAGTCAGCACTGAAAGATGATGACACAGCTGGTGGATGTCAGCTGAAGAACTGTCTGTGAGCTCTCAGAAATGGGAGAGCTGAGATCAGTCTTCCCTGGTGTGAAAGTCTCTTGGGGATAGTTCTGACGGAGACATGGGATGCCTATGCATTTCCTGGGATTACTGAAGGAGAAAGCCTTGTGAAGGGCTAGGATATGAGCAGTGCTAGAAGCAGGTGTTCATGCTTGGGAAGTTCAGGAGACTGACCTCACTGTTAATCAGAATACCAGGTGCAAAATGAACCCGCATACATTCAGTGCCCCAGGAATGACCCTCTCCCAATCCAGAAAATGTTCCCTCCCTATTTCAGGCTTTAGATTTTACCTCTTAGTCCTGGGCCTCTTCTGAATGCACTTGGGTTCACGCTTGGATCCATTATGAACAAAGATTGTTAAACCTTGTCATGTACAATATGTCTAGCTGGAATTTCCTTAGGCCCCCAGAGAAGGAAAAAAGGGGCTTCCATGACACTTCTCCTTGGCAATAGCTAAAATAGCCTCTGCCTCTGGGCTTAGTCTGTAAGAAGGGCATTTTCCAAAACTGGATCACATGTAACTTTCTATGACCTTGTAGTCTTCACTTAAGTTTCATGAATGAATCTCTATTAAAAGCAGGGGGTAAATGTTTTTCCTTTGTCCCTCTTTCAGTTTACAAATTTGTCTTCTCCTATAGCCAGCTGTTAAAAGATTGGTTCTGCCCCTGCTTTCACCTTTCCTGTTTTATCAGCTGAGACGTCAAACTGAGGGCCTGACCACTTGGTGTTAAAGATCCATGGCTTTTTTTGTAAGGCAGTGGCCTGGCCAACTCTCTAAATGCTGCCTTGTCTTAAAGTTTGAGTTAGCCTCTCATACCCTAAATCACAAGGCATCGTTGCCTTGAGCAATGAACAGCTTCTCTCTCCTAATTCAGAGATGACAGCAGTTAAGCAATAGGTGAAAGAAACTGCATATTTCTGGTGTATGAGCACTGCTGAGAGGCTTGATTCTTTTAGCTCTTGAAAATTGTTTGACTTGTGCCGATGAAAAGGGCTGTAGAAATACTTATGATGGCTTATTATTTTGATCCTGTTGCTATTTTTATTTCTATTACCTCTGTGCCAATTTTTCTTTTCTGCAGAATTTTATCTTCTTGCTCTACACCTGCCTCACAAATAGTCAGAAGCTGCCAATTGATAAATGTTGGAGGAAGTAGATGAATTTCTCTTCCCCAAAGAGACAATCAAACTGCTCCGCTCCACCCATACCACAGTATTTAACCAAGTCCCCTAAGCACACCTCCACAGATAACTACAGCTGATCAGAGGTGTACAGCTGTGCTTGGGATGACTTCCCAGCCTGTGGAAACCACTGCAAGGACCTATCCCTCTCTGCCCTCAGAACCACTCTTCTGGATGGAGAAAGGCAAGCAAAGCTATTTGATGGAAGCATGGCAGGGTGAGGGGGGCAGCCTGTGCATGCTGTGGAGATGTGACACAGACAGGATGATGAGACTGGGCTGCTCCCCAGCAGGAAGACCTCACGGGGTGAGGTGTGGTAGAGGGAGTGGGTGGGAATATGAGGTGGAGGGTATAGCATGAAGGAGGTGACATTCTGTCTGAGAAAGGTAACAGGGTAGAGTTTTGGGATCCTGCTCTATGGAGGTATGGCATATGATTGGGTGGTTTTGGAGAGAGATGGACAATGACTACTGAGAATCACCTCAAATAAATCTAATATTCCGAAGTGTTTTGACAATTTTTCCTCGAAACACGTTGTGACTCAAATGACTGCTCTGCAGTGACCTCTAGGGCACGTTTGTTTTCAAAGCTGCTGCAACATTCAATCACCTCGAGAAAATGGCTTTCCCCAAACATATTCTATGGATCTACCTTCTCTTCTAAGAGTGGCTTGTGCCATTGCCAGGCTGAAAGTCCTTCTTCACATAATGCCCTACACAGGGCATGTAGAGAAGAGAGGCTTGTTATCTCCAGTTTGCTGGTGCATCAAAGGAAGTTGCAGATGGTCTGCATGAATCCGATCCAACACTTTTTGAAGTCAATGAAACCCCTTCCCTCGACCTCTCATTCAGTTCTCTCTCAGCTCCTTATGCAAATCATAGTCTATTTTGTGTGTCTCTCCAACAAAACCAACGTGTTCCTCCCAAGCATATCCCTTTGTGGAACCTGAT